GTTACTTTCTCGCACAAGAATACTTTCCTTCTGATCCCCCCCACCCCTAAATTAGACTAGGCGAAATTAAAGTCTATTCCTTATCATTAATCAACACTAGTCCACATGCTATTCCCATGGAAAACAAGACATCTTTCATCTATGAGAAATGAAAAAGAGTGTGAAGTATTCCCATCAGGAAGATAAATACGTATGCAAGTGCCCTCCATGACCCCATTCTTCAAGTGTGGTTTTCTTTAGTTTCAGAACAAAACACATGCTTAGCAGAGAACCTAGAGCTTCCTAGATGCTACGTAAATGCCACCGAGATGGTTGGCCAGGCAACTGTCTCCATAAACGAGGATGGCTTTAAAACCAGCCCTAGTGGTGTAGTGAGTTACCTACCTTGGGCTGATAACCACTTTCTAGTCCTGTAAAAAGTTACAGTCTTGGAAACCCGCAAGGCCAGTTCTCCCCTGTCCTGTAGGTCATAAGAATCAAAATGGACTCAATGACAGTAAGGATTTTTAAAATTTATTTATCATTTGCGGGAAATTAATGGTTTCAACTAAGCTTCAAAATATATTGGACCCTCTTTAACATGGGAGCAGGTGCCAGGCAATGGTCTTACTGTGTCTCCCTCCTCATCCTCTTTCTCAGACTACCAACCAAACTAACTCTCAGACAGTCAATTTTGAGTCTCAGCAACCGGGTTGAACTGCCCATTAGGTGGAACTACCCCATTGGGCAGCTCAAACCTCCCTGCTGACTCTTTCCAGGTTTCCACCCTTTTCTCCTTTGTCTCACAACATCCGCCTGAGACTGCCAGCCTATGCTGATCTCATCATTTGTTTCCACATCCTCTCTCCTACTGCTCTGCAAGGTCCCTGTGAAGGAGCCAGGCTCTTGGAATACACTTAATTAATACTTGTTGAATGAATACATGAGTCATAGGTTGTGAAACTCATGTCCCCCTGTTACTCCAGCAACACTTTTTTCAGGGAAAGGTCTATGGATGACCTCATTTGTGTCCAATTGTAGGAATAGAGGGAACATGTTTTAAGGGACATTCTGAACACAGATGCTGGGCCAATCTCAGTGGTACATTTTGAACGTTGCTGAAGTGTGTTCATTTCCATGAACTGACAGGAGCGAATTCTGTTTCAATGAAAGCAGCAAAAAGAAATCTATTCCTCCAACACTTATTTCTTCCTGCAAAGAGTTTTGTATTTGGAGTGGTTACTACATATCCATCTCTGTTCTGGAATAAATATGTTAACACGACAGCTCACACCAATAACAAAAACAGGGCATTATTTCTAAATGAAACCACAGAGTCCCACCGTTCTAGAAGTTCAATGGGGTTGCACGGAGAGTGGAGATGTAGCACAAACGTATTGGATGAGAATCTACAGGAAAGGCGTGCAGTGCATGCATTACTGTAAGGAAAAGAACACAAGAACACGAAGTTGAATGTGGTCGAGTTATTGGTTCCTGTACGGGTTTGGCCCTCCGTTCTTCCGTTCAATCTCCTCTTACTCTTTAACCACATGGATTGATGAGCAGCTTCATTGATAGAGAAAAAGAGTGTGATCGTGATTGTTTTGAACATGCCAGAGAAAATGACTCAGATAGCAAACACGTTTTCATGCGCATAAGAAAAAAGGGTTCATAAAACACTTTAAATAGCGATCAAATTTGCTTCTTATTTATTTATTTTTTGACAAAAAGAGGGTAATTTTTATGAACTGTTACTTGGTGCAAAACACTCCTGTGGTGACGTATGAAGAGATTAAAAGCAGCGCTAACAGACTTTCCTGTGATGCAGGACAATTCTTCACTTTGTCGCCACATGCAGAGTGCTTAAAATGTCACCAAGTATGACAAAAGAACAGAATTTTGAATTTTGCATATTTTTAATGTACCTGCCTTTCAATAGGCCCACTTCCCAGTAAATAGGCCCTGGGTTGGTGTACAGTGTCTGCCCTCATTTGCCTAATGGGAGGTTGGTGGTTAAAACCCACTCAGCTGGAACTCAGAAGGAAAGTGCTTGTCTCTTCTGGGACACCTGGGTCATCATGAATCGGAATCAAGTCTAGGCAACAAGGCTAGGTTCGGGTTCTGGTGTCTCAGGCCACCTCGCCTGGACAACATGCGTTTTGATCAGACTAGAGCTGTGCAGTCCTGGGAAAGATGTCTAAGGTGCTGCGGTGCATCTACTCCTAATCTTCCTCAACTACTTTCAGCCCCTTCACAGTTGTGCCATGGCTGAATTAGAGCAAGTAGGTGGGGTGTCCTTTGTGATCATGGATTAGAAGTCAGAGCACTAACAAATGGAGTGACTAAGCTCCGCTTTTAGCCCTCTCTGACTCTCCAATGCTATAAAAACTAGCAAGCAGAAATATTCACAAACGAGATGCTTTTAAAGGCTTTACATGCTATTCTGAGGCCCAATGTATAGAGCTTGTTTGCAGCTTTCAAATTTGGATAAGGCTCCATTTTGTATAATCTGCCTTTTTTCAAACTTGTTTTGTACTTGTTTTTCAATTTCTGGGACTATTTCGAGTCCTTCATATTCATCCTATCTCATCGTCTTTAGCTTTTTAGAGGCTCTTCTTGCTTTTTCAATCTGCACCAAACTTTCTGTCCTTATTTTTAATGTTATCTTTTTGAGAACTAGCTCTTTAATCCCATTCTGAGGTCAGAAAGAAAAAAGAGTGAACGTATGGGGCCCATTTCACTTTCTCAAGAAGTGTGTATGTGACTTGCTCCAGTGTTGAAGCCCCTCAATTGTACAGCACGTTTGGGGAATGCCAAGTTCCTTTGGAGATCGCATTCTAGTTTGATGTCTATACTATATATCCACTTGAAAGGCTGCCCTCTACATTATTTCTTGAAAATCACTTCTCATTTTTCTTTTTGTCCTTATAACCATGACTTTAAAATCACATACTTTCAAATCAAATTCCCTCCCCTATGAACGCCTATGGCTTTTTCTACACCTTCATGTACATATGACTGTAACACGATTCATACACTGCTGACGATTTCTCCTAAATATCTATTCTTTCTAAAAGGGACTCACTGAAAATCTTTACAGGAATTACCAAACAAGCAAACCAACCAAAAAAGCAGACCTAGAAAATGGGTCTGCTTAATTCACATAATCAAAAGTAATTAATAAATAAAGTTTAGAAGAAAGACCGATTGCTGTCGAGGGCTTTGATGGGCAGCAACAGCCCGGGTGCGAGCAGAACTGTGTTCCGGGGAGCGTTTCACTGATTGATGGTTGGGAAGTAGACGGACGGGACCTTTTTCTGGATGTAGGCACTTAGAATTGACATTCTAAGATGAACTTCCCCTCGATCCGTCTGTTTCAGGGGTCTTCCAGCACCTTCCATGTCTCAGTCACCTTTACCTCTAGATGAGTTTCTTCTTCTTCTGTATTTTTATATTTATGTCTCATTTAGGAACCAAAATAATTTTGCACAATCCTATGCTCATATATTATTTTCTAGGGAAGCCTCTCTAAGAATTCCATTTGGAATGTCAACACCACTCTTACACTACCATCCTTCATCCTTGTTCATGTCTCTCCACTGTCTTCTTCTAAGAGACTCCACTTAGTGACTTCTTGGGTGTTTACCATCTGTATTCCTCCACAGGAATATAAATTCCATGAGGCACAGACATTTTTGTCTGTTTTTGTTCACTCTTGTATCCTCTGGCTATTGAGTAGAGTCTACCACCAAACTAAACCAAACTTATTTCCATTGAGTCGATGCCAACCATCGCAACCCTATAGGATCGGATAGAATTGTTCTTGTGTGTTTCTTAGACTGTAACTTTTTAAGTGAGTGGAAAGCCCCATCTTTCACCTGAGGAGAGGGCTCGGGGTTTTGAACTGCTGGTCTTATGGTTAACAGCCCACTGCATAACTACATAACCACTACACCACCAGGGCTCCAGGTTCCAACACAGTAAGTGATGAATACAATCTATTAAACGAGCCCTGGTGGCATAGAGGCTTACTAGTTAGGCTGCTAACCTCAAGGTTCATGGTTTGAATCCACCAGCAGCTCAGAGGGATAAAAGATGAGGTTTTCTGCTCATCTTTTATAGTTTGCAACCCAAAGGGGAAATTCTACCCGGTGTTTTAGGGTTGCTATGAGTCAGTTGACGTGATGGCAGTGTAGTTTTGAGTTTGAGTTAAATGAGTGGTTGAATTTGTATTCAACTAATGTGGCATAGTGGTTAGAAACCTGTTGGGTTTCTAACCACAGGGTGAGCAGTTCAAAACCACCAGCCGCTCTGGGGGCGAAAGATAAGGCTTTCTGCTCTGGTAAAGGGTTCCAGTCTTGGAAACCCAGAGGGGCCGTTTCCCCCGCCGTATAGGGTTCCCGTGAGTCCGAATGGACTTGATACCAGGCGGTGAGTTGAGTTGAGAAGCACCTTTTAATTAAACAAAGACAATACTATTGAGTTACGGGAAATTTTATAGAGAATACTATTGTTTTCCCTTTTAAAGTCAATTTTTCTAGACCACTAATGCTGGATGGCATTATCTAGTACGCAAAGTTTTACTAACTGAATTTTGCTGTACAATTATTCTCCTCTGTGTGAATCATTTCACTTCCCATATGATAAAGTGGGCTTCATTTTTAATTAGGCTGTGATAACAGGAAAGCCTGATGAAATTTTCACCTTTTCATTAGTGAACGTTGCACACAATAGTGACTGCATTTCTGAATTGCTCTGGTTTCAGGCTGCTCCTTCAGGGCTGGGGTGGTGAGGGGAGTTAAGGAAATGATATATAAGGCGCTTTTCCCTAAGAGGCTTAGACATTTGAATAAACGTTATTTATATTTAATGATTAAAGAGCCGCCGGCAAGCCAACAATTGGATTTATTTCTATTAAAAATATATTAGAGCAACAATCCTGCTTTGGGGCACTTAAAGACCGGAAGTCAGAGCATCAATAAACCCCAGCAGTGCTATTTTCTCATTCCCTTTTAGCTAACCTTCATTAGCCGTTTCCTTAGTGGCTGCCGACAAGCAGGCACTCACGGCCTCATAAGAGGCACTCAGCCGGGTGTTGGGGTCTCTCTTCGGCTTGGGCGGAGGCTGTTTCCTTGGTGATGGCAGGCTGGTGTGGTCCTCCACGCTGAACACGGAGTGGAGGGAAGGAGACCTGCAGGACGATCCCGCCAGGAACTGGACCAGGCTGTCCACGGCTATCGGAACTGGGACGGAGCTGGAATGGAAATGCGTGGGTCCGCACTTGTGCTCCGCTCTTAGGAGGAAACAACACACAAACAGTACCACAGGAAGAGATGCCCAGATGCATTATTCAAATGATGACAATGAACCCGCTCAAGCACATGTAATAACAGCACCCCCACCCCTCTTGCTCTGGCGAGATGGATGCGTGGGCCCTTCTCTGGTCGATGAACGAAGCCAGAGAAAGCATTCCTGATCTGCTGGCCCCTGCTTCACGATTAATGAGAACACTAGCCATTCATTAGGATTACTCTCTAAGAGTCTCTCACAAACATTTCCGAGCTAGTTTCACATTTTATATCAGGCATTCGCCGGATGAATCTTTCATACTTGAATTGTTAAGCAAATCAAAATTCCAGAATTTCAATCTGAATGATAATTTCTGGGAAATCCATCTTCACAGAGAGTTACTGATGCGTCAAATGCAGTTCATCACCATTTCCCCACGCAAAGGGAGGGTGGACTGTACTTATTTACCACTCTGTGAGGTTTACACTGCGGCTTTCCCCTGCTCTCTCTTTTGTCTTGCCATAGCCAGTCTTTCAATGATTATTTAATTATGTTCAAAACTATGGATATCCATCCTATGTATACAGGCAATATAGATATAGTGCCTGTGACTCCATCTGATTGACCAGCGCCAAGTGCACTGCTGGCATTCCACAGATAGATAATTCTTCTGTTAATTTTACATCAGGCCAATAAATACATAATCACATTGAGAAACCAGAGTGGCTGTTTAGTTCCAGCCGAGAAAATGATAAATATTATTCTGGAAGTGGCCTGAAATTAATAGTTATCTGGTTTAAAAATGCCTTCTGGCTTTACATGCCAATGTTGTCAGACATTAACTAGATGCCACCGTGTATTCATTCTACCAGGAGTTTCCAGAACCTTTGCTTTTATAATTATATATTTGTCTGGCACTGCACCAACAGGGCTGGAATCTCCCATAAGACAGAGCCTGATGCCCCTGTAGTCAATGAAGTAGCTGGAGAGGCAAGCCTGGCACTCGGTGGATCATTTGTTTTCCCTATAATGTTTAATTACAGTTTTCTGTACAAAGGGGATTTTTTTCCCCCAGTATTTAATCACTGAGATATTTGAAGCTAATTAACCAGAGACACATCGCCATTTCACTTTAATAAAAAATCAGTTGACATAGGCATTAGAGGCAAAGGGGAGTCATTTTCAGGGAGTAACAACTAGACACTAACAGTTTCCTATGGACCAATGAACCACCTCCCTGACAAGTGAATTAGAATGCAAAGGAAACAGCTGCTGCCCCTCCTGGGAGGGCTCCTGCTTTCCCAGGGGTCTGCATTCTTCCAGGTGGAGGAGGTATGCGAATGGAGAAGGGCCAGTTTGTCTTTACATTTCTATTCCAGTTTCAGCATTCACAGTGCATTTTGAGGTAAAATGTTTCATTTCCGCCCCCCCCTCCCGCCGCCCCCAAAGCTTTCCATACTGGCCTCCCCCACTCCAAAAAAAATGTGACAGTTTAGGAAGGGGATTCTAATAGATATGAACAACATACTGATCCCACTCTTGTTTATTTTTTTAAAATGTTTTCAGAGTAACTTATCAAGTTTTATTGTTCAGATTTCTGGAACTTCCTGTAAGTTGGCCTTATAGGCATCAACGTCGTATAAAAACACCAAAAGCCAGCTATAGGAATGCAGAAACATGAGATGCTTTAAAACTCTCGAGTGGTCTTGAAATAATAGTAAGGGATGCCAACACTGTAAGAGAAACAGTAAGTATTGCACAGGATGGCGTCAACAGAGATAGCATCTTTTTCACTTAAGAAACACACAGGACAAGTAGGCTTCTAGATGGTTGCAGTTTCAAGTAACAAACCAGGCGTGAATGCCTGTTCCCGGAACGACTGTCCTATTTGACTGAACTTTGCATTTCGAGCTATCGGAATCCTCCTGAGGCCATCGCATCAATCGCAAAGGTAATTAAACTTGCATGCTATCTATCCATACCTCTTGGTTCCTTCCTCTTGTTTGTTCTTGGCCTCGAACTTGTCTTTCTGATAAGTGGCATTCGTTTCATTCCGCACTCGGTCATTTTCCCGGGCAATGTCGGAAGCATTCTGAATGACCAGGGCATCATAGGTTCTCAGGCCCATGTCCTCTGTGTTCTGTAGAAAGCTATTGATGGAAGTAACCTCTTGCTGCTTGACGCTCATTTTCTGAAGCAGGTGCTGGCGTGCTAGAAATCCTCTGATAACTTTCATAAAAGAACACAATTGGTAAGAGAAGCAAAGGTGAAGCAGACACACACGAACAACAATCGCAGTGCATGGGTATCTGTTCAGTTAAGGTACGAGACACATCCAGTCAAGCACAAGGATTCCCTACCATATTCTATTCTCATATAAAAAGGATATCTGAATTCATTACTGACACCTGAATGGCACAATAACAACAACAACAACAACCAAGTATGTGAATGAAGGTTGGCAGGTGATACTGATGACACTGCTTCTCCATGCCTCTTGGTAAACCAGGAGAGACCATGATGAACTGGGCTCCAGTCAGGGCTACAAAGAGCTGGCGTCAGACCCTCAGAGATTCTGGAGGTGTGACTGTGCCTGGGCCTTTTGGGGATGAGTCGGTCTCATAGAATACCAGATCATTACACAAACGGCATGGCCTGTGGGATTAGGCTTGGAAAATAGCATGCAGATAGTGTTTTGAAGGTGATTTGTGTTTTCGAAAAATGAACTTTCCTTGATGACTCTGAAAATAGCTGATGCGGAAAAGAAGGGTCTCCTCCCTGCTCTCTTGGAGAAGTAAACACAGCAAAATGTGTGCAACCCGGAGAAAAGTAGCGCATAAAAAGGCTTTGAAAATGGTCATGCCTGCCATATCATACACTGGAGAGCACAAGGACCATTGTCAGACACTACTATTTAATTTGATATCACATATTAAATGCCACCCATTTTCAGTCTTATCAATATCATATAATAATTATTCATATCATATGTAATAATGATGTAACACAGTAATCCTCCACTATGCCGAGGTGCTCTGTTCCAAAACACACTCACTCTCATGCCAGAAATACTAGATAGTATCAACTTATATATATATAACTTCTATACACATATATATGAAAGAGTTTGATTTATAAATGAGCAATAACGAATAAAATGGAACATATAATTTAGTATACTGTAATAAAAATGACATGAATGGAAGAGCAGTAAGGTGCCTAATGTCATCAAGCTATGCACTCATTTAACATTTTTAGAGTGTGAAACTGCAGAAAGTGAAATTGCAGAATAAGAGGGGATTGTTCTATATGCCAAGGAGCCTGGTGATGTGGTGGTTACGATTTGGGCTATTAACTGCAAGGTCAACAGTTTGAAATCACCAGCTAGCTCTTCGAGAGAAAGGCAAGACTTTCTACTCCTGTCAACTGCTAGATTCTCAGAAATTCACAGGGGCAGGTCTACCCTCGTCGGTAGTGGCCCTATGAGTCAGAATGGACTCGATGGGAGTGACTGAGTGAGAGCTGTATATACCAAAGGAGCCCTGGCAATGGAATGGTTAACTATTGGATGGTTAACCACAAGGTCAGTGGTTCAAAGTCACTAGCCTTTCAGCAAGAGAAAGATGAGGCTCTCCGCACAGACTCACAGCAATGGGTGTTTGGAAAGAAAGAGAAGCTTAGTGAGGCTAAGAAAAGGTCTCCAGGTGGACAATCTATAAGTGACCGAGCTGGGGTTCAAATCTCTCTCCTTGTAACAATGCCAAACTCGGATCCCTTCACCTTGGAAATGTGATCCCTAGTCCTCTGTAGAGCTCTGTGACCCAAACAGGTTGCACTAGGGAAGCAAGTGTATGATCAGCACATGGAAGAACTTCTTAACAAATGGACCCAGTGGCCTTCTGAGAACGGGAGGCCTCTTCTCAGCAATGCTTGGAATTCTGATGGGATTTTATCACCTTCACGATGTGAACCCGCACAATTCCACTTTTCAAGTTATGGGAAGATCTATGAATTCAGGGAAAACCAATCAATGTAGCAACGACACTTTACTCTTTTTGGCTTTAGTTCTGGGGTTGGGGAGAAGTGATGTGGATCTGTCAACATTAAGTGCTTTAAAATACGAGGGGTGCCCCTCTTAAAAAAAACCCTGAATTTTTTTTGCAAATATATGTATTTAATTAATTAATTTATTTTTACAAAACAACCTTATCACCTTCAAAATACTCTCCATTACAGTTAATACATTTGTCAAATATGTAATTCCATTCTTGGAAACATTTTTCTCATCTGTTTGGATGGTTGACAGCACCTCTCTTGTTTTTTTCTTTACCTCTTCTACATCATCAAATCACTGTCTTTTCATGTCTCTCTTCATTTGCCGAAACAAATAAAAAGTCGCACGGATCAAGGCCAGGTAAGTAAGGTGTGTAGGCCAAGAGGGGCATGCTCTATTTTTGCCCAAAACTGGCACACAGATGGCTTCCTGAGTGGGTGCATTGTCATGGTGGCAAAAGCCGTCCCCTATCTCCCACAAATCAGGCCTTTTTTGTCCCACGCTGTTATGCAATCTTTTCAAAACCTCTTAAAAATTAGAGGCTAAATAGAAAGCTCGATGAACCGTCTGATCTGGTGGAATGAATACCAAATGCACTATCCACCTCACATCAAACAAACAAATGAGCATCATCTTGATCTTTGATTTCACTTGATGAGTTTTTTGGGGCGATGGTGTCTTCCACTCACTTAAATGATGTTTGCTTTCAGGGTTGTAAGAATAGTACCATGTCTCTTCAACAGTAATGGCCTTCGAAAAAAAGTCTAGGTCGACTCAGAGTTGTTTTTTCAAAGCAAGGCATATTTCCACTTGATGCTTTTTCCTGGTCAGTCAGTAACTGAGGGACTAATTTTGCAGCGACCCTTCTCATTCCCAAATCTTCCATTAAAATTATCTGAACCAAGCTCCAAGATAGTCCATCTAACTTCCCCATCTCTTCAATGGTCCATCGTTGGTCTTTGGGCACAAGTGCATTAATTTTGTCAACATTTCGCCCATTTGGAAGTTGATGGATATCCAGAATGAGGTTTTCCATCAATCAACATTTCAGCGTTTTTTGATCTGAGAAAACCACTCAGACACTTGAGTTTTTCCCATAGTGCTGACCTTGTAAGCTGTGTTCAACATCACAACAGTTTCTGCAGCATTTTCCTTAGCAGGAAACAAAATTTCACAGCTGTACGCTGTTCTCTTCAATTGGCCATTAAAAAAGAAAAACAAAAACAACCCCCTCCCCGACCCCCCGAGGTTGGAGTAAACCTGCTTTTATGAAAAACTCACTGTGACCAGAGAAAAACTTCCCAGGTGATGCCACTAGGTGCACTCACTCAAAGCAAGTTGTTAGATCTCTGCCTAGGCTGAAAAAAGGCATGCTATGAAGGCCCCACCCTGGGGAGCTTTGTTTCTAGTTTTTTTGGGGGGGATACCCCCTCATATTCCATGGATATAGAAGAACTAAAGTGTGGGCTATCTACAAACCCATTTTGATGCCTACTTGATTACAGGGCTGAAAGTTGATCACAACTTATCCTACTATAGTTTCACAGGAAAATAATATGCAAATTTCTATAATGCGTAAGGCTTTATTTTTCTAAGATGGCAATACCAAATGTTTCGTTACTTTTTAATGCATGTATGAGGTTAAGTATAAAACAGTCAAGTTAAAATAATCTATAGGGGGTAAAATGGCAAAAGGTATACTCAGACTTTTGGAAAAATGAGACGCAGAATGAAATAAAACCCCAAAACCTTAACTATGTGAAGGGTATGATGAGAGGAGCAAAAAAAAAAAAAAAACAACACAAAACCCTAACCTCGCAAACTTTAAACTGGCCTGATCATGTTCTCATTTTGTTATTGTTAAAAGAAAGAGAGAGACTTTTGGAAGAGTGACGGTGAGGTCTATTCCAGATGTTTAATCTGTTGGTATGAACTTCATAGGGAAGGCCAGGTGAGTTTGTCACACTTACTTGACCCTCACTAGAGCAAAGCTATTCATTGACTTCATATTGACCCAGGGACACTCATTGTCCCAAATCTAAAGAATTCCATTTTCTCACACTCTATCTATACTAGCAGCCTTGAATTGCTTTAAAATTTTATGCCACTTGCTAAAAATTGACATTGTGATAAAAGACAGTTAATAAATATGCATTTACCATAAACAGACATTGATGTTTATTTTCTTCCTGAACACGTCAATGCTAACCAGCCTCCTACTGGGTTAAAGTCTTAATTTACTGTCACTTCTCCACGTAGGATGAGTTGAGCATATGCAGTCAGAAAGAAAACTTCTGGCAGGCATAATCTGCATGCCCATTGTAACTTTTTCCACCCCAATATTGACCAACAGGAAAAAACAACACATTAGAACCTTTCAAAACCTAGAAATCAGACCAGATGATATAAATTTTGAGTAAATTTATATTAGAAAAAGCATTTAAGGAACCATTCCAGGAGATATAAAAATCAAAATCAATAATAAATGCCTTTCTTTTAAGAGCCTGTCATTTAAAATATGCTTTTATATCCATTCTTTCATTTATACAATATGAAATTACATTTTTAAAACCTTCTCTCCCTTTTTTGAACCATTCTCAATTGTTATCGTGAGGGGTGAATAAGTAATTAGAGTTCTCTTCTTTCTGCCTTCGATCCCAGGTCAGCGGGGCAGAGCAACTTAGTCTTTGTTACAGAATAGAATAAAATCCTCTAGAGAGTAGCCTTGATGGATGATGGGGTATAAATTCTTCTAATGAGATTTAAGGAAAGTTTCTATAAGAACTTGTGATACCCTGTACTCTTCTTATCTACAATAACATTATATTAAATGGGAGTTTGTTCCAGTTGCAGCTGAAGCTGCAAATATAGGTTTTGGTTCTGATGGTTCATGAGGCCTTTTGCCTTCTTCTCCTGAAAAGTCCTTGCATCACACACTGGTGCATGGGGCGCTATCCCCACTAACAGGAATTGCACAAAAAGTGGTCCAAAAATAGACTGGCCTTTGGCCCAAGCTTGCCATTGCCACTGAGACAAGGCAGAGTATCATAAACCAGGTCGAGGTCATCTTTACCAAATGGGCCCCCTCTCCTTGTCCAAAGCTTCTGTCCTCCCCATCTTCTGATTTTTGCCTCTCCAACCCCCGAGACTGGTGAAAATGGTCTAAAGCCACCACGGCAAGAACTGGGTACCTAGAACTGTGAGATCGGAAAAGGCAAAGAGCGGCTGCTGGCAGTTCGTGCCAGGCTGCTGAATGGCGCGTAGGGTCTGTTGGGGAGAAGCAATACGATGAGGGGACCACACGTTTGTATCTTGGACCACCAGTTTGTCAAGAAACAGATACCTTCTTGGGGTTATCTCTTGAGTGAGCCACAAGCCCCTGACCAAGTGTGTGCCTGGGATGGACAAGCAGGTGCCCTAAAGGTAATTACAAGAGGCCAGCCAAAGGAGAGGTCTTGCCAGTTCTAAGACTGAGGGGAGCCCTGACATAAAGCCCTGAATATGAAACCAGTCAGTTAAGATCTTGGCCAGCAGAAACCAGTGCCAGATTGCCCTGGTGCCAGCCAGGGAACCTTGCTCCCCGTCGCCCCCCCCCCCTCTCCTTTCTTCAGCTTCGCAGATGCCAGAGGAACCCTCAAGAAGCTGGGGAGGAAGTGCTCAGTTTCAGGGCCGACAAATATGATTTCCTCTCTCCCAGGGAATTTTCCAGACTAAAGCCTGCCTAGTCTGAGTCATAAGGGGATTTTGAATTTGAAATGTGCTTCTAAATTGCGATCATTTCTTGATCTGGACAGGGTAACATCTAAACTGGCACTGTTGAAGAGACTAAATTATAGGAGGGTTTTCTTTTTAAAATCATTTTATTAGGGGCTCATACAACTCTTATCACAATCCATCCATCCATCCATTGTGTCAAGCACATTTGTACATATGTTGCCAACACATTTTAAAAACATTTGCTTTCTACTTGAGCCCTTGGTATCAGCTCCTCATTTTTCCCCTCCCTCCCTGCTCCCTCCTCTCCCATGAACCCTTGATAATTTATAAATTTTTTTTTTTCATATCTTACACCATCTGACGTCTCCCTTCACCTACTTCTCCGCTGTCCATCCCCCAGGGAGGAGGTTCTATGTAGATCCTTGTAATCTGTTCCCCCTTTCTCCCTCACCATCCCTCCACCCTCCCTTATAGAAGGGCTTTTTGTTACCAGAAAATGACTGGAAATATTATGGCACCCCTTGGAAATTTCAGGGGTGTGCCCAAACACACCCCACAGAGGCTCAGGTAAACAGATGCATGGACTGAATAAAATTGATTTCTGAGTCTTATGAGATATGATTCTTAGATCCACTGTACATATATATCAGAGAGCTAAATGCATTACAATTCCTACCGACCGCCATCGTGTTGATTCTGACTTAAGGACAGTGGAGAATTGCTTCCTTTGTGTTTCTGAGGCTCCCACAACATTTATGGGAGCAGAAAGCCTCATCTAGGTCTTGATGAGTCAAACTGCTGACCTTGCAGTTAGCAGCCCAATGCAGACCCACTGCGTCATAAGGGCTGCTTTCATGGTAACCAGTCCTGCTGAAAGCTAGCACACAGATTTTGCCCGCTGACACCCCCAACCCCTAGCCCTTTGGCTCTTCTTTAAATAGTACAACTCTGCTACTAAAAAACACACACAATTATATCATAAAAACTTACTGAGCCTGGAAATGTTATGCAAGGCATACTTATTATTGTTCTTAAAAATATGTCCCTTTTAATGTTCACGTGACTTTAACCGACAACAAAACTAAAGGGACAATTTCTCAATGTCAAAGTTTATAGATGTTATTGACTGTCAAACACAGTCCTCCACATATCATCGCATCACAGGGAAAACAGATCAAGACAAGGCTTTCTATCAAGCACCTATAAACTAACCGCCATGGAGTGAATGCTGACTCAGTGAACCTTGGTGGCTTTCCAAGGCTGTAACTGTTTCTGGACGTAGAAAGACCCATCTTTCTCCCTCAGAGCTATGCGTGGGTTCGAACTGCCAGCCATGAGGATTGCAGCTCGGGGTGTAACCACAACACCAGCAGGCCTCCTAAGGCATACACAGAATCACATAAAAGGTTTCTACGTGGATTTTGGTTTGTCCTTTCATTGCAAACTGTGTGATATCAGTGGAGTTGACTGAAATGGTACAGGGTTTGGGTCCACCGTTATAGGCATGTGCCAGGTGGGGGGTTGACGATCCCACTGTGGATTCAAAAGAACACTATTATCACCCTGAAAGGATAAAAAACCATGAGTCTTGTCAAGGATATAGATGAGAAGTTCTTCAGAGTGTTTTCTAGACTGTAATCTCTATGGGAGTAAACCACCAGATCTTTCTTAGGACTTGCTGAGTGGGTTTTAAAAATCCACCTTCCATTTAGAAGCCAATTGCTTGATCATTGTCCCACCAGAATTCCTTATTGTCAAGAAAGGGGTCAGGATGTGTATATTTTTCCTTCCAAATTGTGATTACGGTGTTAATCTGATATAAAATTTAAATGGACTACCAAGTAAAACATGAATGAATAGTGGCTGAAAACAGGTCGAAAAACAGATAAATGACAAATGAAGTTTTGATTTTTCCTAAACTCCCAAAGAACTATTTAACCACATGGAGCATCAGCAAATGAACTGAATGGCTCAGTATAAAGTCAATAACACAGCCATAGTGTTTAAGCGTGGGGTGGGCACCAAATTATTTTGTACTTAACACCTAGAAAAGATGGTTCATTGTTACCTTTTTGGCAGGTTATAATTTTTCTCTGCCGCTGCAGGCACAAATCATGGAGCTGGTCAGCTTGCCAGTATCTTAAAAACACTTTTTGGACTCCCATCTAAAAATACAAACAACAGGAAGACTTTTCACAGCAAGAAGATACCAAAATAATGACGGGAAAATCAGCAGGCAAGAAATCGTTCCAGAAGAGGACTAGAAGAGAAAAAGTGAACAAAATTAATTTTGTTTCTTATTTTTTAACCTTCTTGCATTTAATCAAATATGTTAAAAGTCTCTTCTGAATAGGTACATTTTCTGGGTACACACATAGTCATCCATGTTTGGAAACACCTACACCATACAGTTGTGGACTTATGCCACGTCGAATAAAGAGAAAGACGGACCTTCCCATTTGCCAGAAGATAAAATCCTCCCCGAAAGAAATTCTCCCTTTCCCTAGCAAGGCCCCAATATTCCCCTGATTTTCCTCAACTCAAAGTAGGGTGATTGAGTTTTAAAAGCTAACCAAAGCCCAACATAAACCTGGCCTATGCAGTTTTGAACCGCTTTCCACCATGCTCGATATTATTATAAACTGAAGGCTTAGATTTGCGACTATAGAACTGAAGCACCAAACTAAAAAGCCTCAACAAATCGGGGCTGAGCAGTAGCCGTCTCTGTACTTACATGACGAGCAAGGAGAGAATGCACGAACGTAGAGACTTCAGCACGCCATCGTCAGGTCAGTCCCTCTGCAGAGGGACCGCAGCATGCAACATGGCTCCACACGTTGGTATTAATGAAAAGAGCAGCAAAAATCACCCTGGAATATCCCTACCAATAAGCCGCAATGGTATATTTATTAAGAATGTTCTTGAGTGTTGTGTTTGTTTTCTAAGAAATCAGAGAACAATGAGAGGTGTGAGGAGTGCTCTTCGCATCATAAGTGCTCACAGTCTCATAAAGGAAGCAGGCATGAATAATTACAAATGAGCCTGAGAAATCCTAACATGAAGTGCTGAGGGCACTCCAAGGTGATGCTCTGTTTGGTGATGGAAAAATACTGCTTAGGCAAATTCTTGTGACATGCTCCTAATCATATTGAGACAAACAAAGCAAGAGGATGACTAACATGTGTACTCCCAAACATCTCTGGGGAGAGTCAAATGATCACACCTCACAGCCAACGTCATACATCACACTGTCACTGGATGCTCACAAGTATAAACACACCATTAGCTACTGGAACGGTTTACAGGTCAGAGGTGTCTTGTCTTCAGAGTGTTTGGCTAGAGATGTTTTATGAACCTTTTCATCTGGAAACTAAGTTTACACCAAGCATATTTTGTCACTTTCCATTTGGCCATCTAACTCATCCCTTAGCCATTCATGTGTGGTCTTGATGAAACCCACAGTTCTGTCAGAAACAAAGCCCTGAATCATGCTTTATGGTGATCAGCTCAATCCAACAGAGAGCACTTTCCATGGCTGGGCTGGTTCAGGCCCCTCTGGCTGATGGGATGCTCTTCCTCCTTCAGTTGGTTGGAATTTGAGACTATCTCATGAGTGAATGAGTATTAAAAGTTGCTACCTTTAAAAAAAATTGTATTGCCATCCTCTCTCCCTAGTTATTTTCCATAAATTCATAGTCTTTTTATTTTTGTCCTCCCAACTGCTGACTTATTTTGGCAGTCCCCAGGAAGAACAGTTGGTACTGTCTGTGAGCACTGAAGAACAAGTCTGCGAGACAGGCCTCGGAAAGGAGGGCACATGTCAGCTATCTGTTCATCACAGAATGGGGTATGTCACTCATGGTGGGAATCTAAAGCCCAAGGCAAAATTCATACAGCTCTGGGATGCAAAGTAAAACTCGAACATGGTGATGACAGCAATGCTACAGAGGTGGATAAAATCAATCATAATCATTGAGACTCCCAGTATATACAGAAAGAACACAAAAGGAGAAGACCCTTGATCTAGAAATAGGCCACATGGAATCTAATTCTACACCATTCATTAAGTGGGGATCCTGTGCAGGAAAGGAGCGGGACTGAATGGCTAAATCTCTCAGAGTGGCATTTCTAATAGCCTTTCGTGACACAGAAGTGTCTAGCTTCATGCTAAATTTGGGGGAAATAAAAGATGCCCCTGTCCTCAAGGAGGTCTCAGGTGGGCCGGGAACATAACAAGAACAAATGCTAAGCTCACTGTCGAGTCAATTCTGAATCATAGAGACCCTACAGGATGGAGGTGCCCCTGGGCTTCCAAGACTGTAGCTCTTTATGAGAGTAGAAGGCCTTCTCCCCTGAAGCAGCTAGTGGTTTTAAATTGCTGTGCTAGTGGTTTTAAATTGTGGTAGAGAAGAGAAGCAGTGAACACATTCTTGCAATAATATCCTCATACTATCCTCATATTGCAAATGGTCAGAACAATAGTAGAGTTATGTTTGAGGAATACAGTAGCAGAGAAGATGAAGTAATCAAGTACGTCTGATTAGGCCAGGCAGGTTTCACTGAAAAGCACATGATCTCAGTCATTGAAGCTTAAGAGATAAACAGAAATTTTCCATGCATTCTACAGATGCCAGGAGGAGATTAATTTGGGATAGAGAAACTATCATGTGAAAGGCAAGAAATAGAAAAATACAAACCCTATGGGGCATCGCTGTGCAGAAAGCGATGGGGGAAGAGGTTAAGTAACTGGTGGCTACATCAAGAAAAGCCTTCGTTACAAAATGCCAACATATTTCTCTGCGCCATGGGGATACGTTTGAAAGATCTAAATAGGAGCTGATGGAAATTTTATAAGAATTGTCTTTGAAATCTTATTTGGATTTTAATATTTCCCTAAGAGAACTATCTAGAGAATGGGATATTAGATGAGGGTTGGTAGGTGCATGGCAAAGCAGACCAATAGAAAACATTCATTCAGAGTTGGAAAATTCTGCAACTCCTGCTTGTCTGTTGGTCAATATTAATTTTATCTTTTATAAAGAAAATTAAAGCACATTTTCATTATGTGATAAAAAAACCACTTTTATTGGGGGCTCTTACATCTCTTAATACAATCCATACATTCCTCCAGTGTGTCAAGCACGTTTGCACATATGCCGCCATCATCGTTTTCAATGTATTCTCTTCCCACTTGAACCCCTGATATCAACTCCTCATTTCTTCCCCCTCCCTCCACCATCTACCCTCCCTCATGAACCCTTGATAAGTTATAGGTTATCTTTTCCATATCTTGCATCACCCTTCATTGTTCTAGACTGATCCTTGTGATCAATTTCCCCCTTTTTCCCCCTCCTCTCCCGTTCCCTAATCCTCCTGGTATCTCTACTCACCTTGTTGGCCCCGAGGGTTTATCTATCCTGGATTCCCTGTGTTGCAGGCTCTTATCTGTAGCAGTGAGCATGCTCTGGTCTAATCTGATTAGTAAGGTAGAACTGAAGTCATGAGAGTGGGGTGAAGGAAGCACCAAAAAGCTAGAGGAAAGTTGTGTGTTTCATGGGTGCTATACTGCACCCTGACTGGCTCATCTCTTCCTTGTGACCCCCCTGTGAGGGGATCTCCAATGGTCTACAGATGGACATTGGGTCTCCGCTCCATGCCCTCCCCCCCATTTCATTATGTGATTTTAAAAAATATATTTACCTTTCTGCTTCCAGAAGAGTTTTAACACCTTTCAGTTTTGTTTTTAGAGAATTTTATGAAGGGGTCCCTTTTCTCACTATAGTGCATTATATACTTATCATTTTCTATATATGAAAGAGCTTAAAATATCATGGGAAAAGTACATTTTCTTTCAATCTAATTTTCCCATGAACTTTTCAGAGCCCCTTGTATTTAAATATGTTGAAAAACATGTTATTAAGCTTCATCAGTTGAAGGTAAAGAGAATAGATTCATATTTGAGAGACATGAAACATGAGGAATTAATTCCTGGTGTGAGTCATAGAGACAGATGATGGTTTGTTTTAGGATGGAAATAAAGGCTGATGGAAAAATGGAAACACAAGCTAGACCCTGAAGTCATTCAGCAAGCTGGGATGAGTTTCTGGAAGGTGGCGGGTCATTGGCTCATGGTGGGAATGAAAAAGGAAAGAAAGTGGCCCACCAGAGGGGTAGCTATCACGTCGGGGCGCAAGAATTCGGCAGAACCCTTCTTATTCCTGACTAGACTAAGGAAATGAGAAAAAGTGAAACCTTCTAAAACATGGTTAGGAGAGAACTTGTTTATGGTCCAGATACAGAGGCTTAGGTAGAAGGAAATGCATACGGAAGATGCAATGGGATTTTCTCACAACGTACACTGGTGATTTCACAGACACTGATGGTGGGCGGTTGAGGAATACGCCAAGGATTTCAAAAGGCAGACCTGGGGGCCCAGCCAGACTCGGAAGTGGTTTAAAAAAAAAAGAGTTATTGCTGTGAATCCGGGGATTGGAATGATGGCAACGAAGAGACAAGGTGAGTATAAGAAGCAGAGGGCATATGCAATGCAGTGACTTATTCAACACGGTTATTCTAACTGGATTCTTTTGTAACTCCCGCCAAATGACTTTTTCCCTGACGCAGGTGAGTAAGAGAAGGTGTAGGAACATACTGATAGGATTACATGATTCAGGTGTGTTTCATAGGACTCATTGTGATTACCATCTTGCTGGGTATAAAAGGAGCCATCTCAGCAGCAGGAAGGTGGGGTTTTACCAGCAAGAGAGAAGAACCAGAGAGTGATGTGGGCCTTGTGGACACCGGGGGCAGCTGTGACACTGGCAGAGGAGCAGCAGCAGCAGCAGGACCTAGAGTTAGAGCCTGAGGCAAAGAGGGTACTTTCCAGTTCAGAGAGCAAGACAAACTGAGTGCTCACTAGCTTGAAGCTGACTTGGAGAGTAGGGTCCCTGGTGACGATGGAGGGTGCTAGTTTGTCCAACTGATGATACTAGAGTTGGGTGGAGTGAGGTTTTGGTGTAGTGGATTGCCATTGGGCCTTTATTGTCAGCTCCCCCAAAGCTTTCAAACATTTCAACAACAGAGCAGAGTACAAAAGGCCATGTGGGTGAGAGGCCACAGACCAGAGAGAGGCCTGCCTTCAGGCCCCAAAGAGGCTATCCTCTCT